TTTGTTTTTTTATGATCCAAACACACTCAAACAAACACCAAACAGTGACCAATAGCTAGCCACAGAAGTTACAATAGGTGTAGCTAGCCTATGACAAGTGTGTTTGTGTTAAAATCTAGGTCATACAATTCTTTTTAACAGGTGTAAATCTAGCTCCCATTCTCACGATTTGTTTGTAATTTAATTTTGTTGCTTTTGCGCTCTATCTACCACTTTATGCAACTTAGTATAAAACCAAATATAAATATAAACTTACTGAATTTTTCTGTTACTATCAAATAACATTAAAGCAAAATTACAAAATTAGACCCTCCCTCATAAGAAACAAAATTTTAAGAATTTATTAATCATTCTAATCGATTGCAATAGGCTACCAATATAGTTAATTGAGAGTCGATAATTCAAAGAGCATTTCATTTTATTTTTGTCCAAATCTGAAAGCAACCTTACAAATCAACACATAATTTCATAATCACACACATGATCCAAAATCAAAGAGAGATACCATTTTAATGGAAATAAAAAAAAAATAAGATGTTTGGATACAATTGAAAATCAAAAAATATAAGTACATGAAGCACCAGATTTAAAATTGGATTCCTCATAAGTATAAATAATTCTTTGAGATTACGCTTTCATGAGTACAAATAATTCTTTGGGAGCTCCGAGAATTAGTGTGGTAAAACCATGTATATCTCGATTGCGAGAAAAATATATAATGCAGCTAAAAGAGCATAGGCAGATTTAATAAAGCAATCCCCACAAAAATCTATAAACTTTACCATGTTTGAGGCTTTTCTCTTAAAAAAAACTTTAGTAGTACTGCACTTATCTGTTTCCCATTGAAAACTTTAAATCACCCATTAGCTGTTTTGATTTTGATTTTGATTTTGATTCCTTTCCTGGTGTAAAGAGATGTAGTATCCGTATTCACCTTCACATAAAGGTGGTGTCTTTGGTTTGATTGTAGTGCCAGAGTTTTTGACCAAAAAAATCAGATCCACCTCAAAGAGAGAGAGAGAGAGAGAGAGAGCTCTCTCATGTAGCCTTTTCAAAATAGAGCAAAATACAAAGAAATATTGTCAGTGTTCCCTCAACCTCTTCACTCCTCATTTATGAAACCTGTCTTTCTTTACTTATTTGACATCAAAGCTCTATCAAGTGAAATTCTCAACTCAACTCACAATATTATATATATATATATATATATATATATATATATATATAATATGTTTTTAGAGTAAGTGTTGTGATTCTGTACACAATAGGAGATTATTTATTAACTATTTTTAGAAAATCGAACAGATAAAATGAGAAACTTTGGGAATACCCCCCCCCCCTAAGGTAGTGTGTTTAATTGTGGCATTCATATTAAGTCATCAATTTAATATGTATGTTCCACAATATATTTATATATATGCACGGGTGTAGAATATATTAGATAAAAAAATAAGCATGATGCATCTTAATGTTGATATTTATACAAAAAGTAGTGTTACTCTTCAATTTAGTTCTAACTTCTATTTCTACTTTGATTCCAAATAATGCAAAGAGGTGTCATATTCTGATCTGGTATAGAGAATGCTACTCAAAACCTAATTCTCAGAAAGCTTAATTTCTCTATTAAGCTCTCCTCTTCGCACTTCTTCAGCTCTCACTGCTGTTGGGGAAGTTCTTGAAAAATCGGCAAACTCTCTCTCATCTCCCAGAGAAATGCTGCCCAAAATTGACGAGAGTGACAGGTTTTGTAGCCCCAGAGCCACCAGAGAGCTCACCTTGTATGTCCCCCTCTTACCAATTTTTGTTTTTCTATGTGTGTATATATATAGAGAGTTCGGACTATTTGTTTTGGTTCTTTGATGGGTTGAAAATTGCTTGAATTTCAATGTCAGGATAATTATTTATGCGGCGTGTTTGGAGGGTTATGACCCAATTCGGCTATTCGAGAAGAGAATCAACGCCCGAAGAGGTATTAGTATTACCAATGCTATGTCTTGTTTTATGACAATATGTTTATCTTTTTGGGTTTTTCTGCATCCCTTTTGATAAAACTGAATAAGTACTTAATTTATTTATTTATTATTATTTATATAACTGGTGTTTAGATAACTACCTACTACTTTATATTTTCTCTTTTCCATCTCGTTAGAAACTAAATAACTTCCAAAGCATTAGTCTCGGACAGAATTTTGATCGAAATTTACTTCTTTCTTTCATTCTCTCTTTCTTTTCCTGTAAATAAAATTTAGACGTAAAGGTCATATAACAGTTTTCCCATTATTGTTCGTGTCTTGTATTTTCAACTGAATTTGGGCTTAGGTATAAAGCAACTTGCACTCTTCACCAGTTTAGGGGGGGGGGGGGGGGGGGGGGAACTTGTGAGCATATCTAGAAATTTGCTGTTTAAACCCATTCAAATTTCATGAACAGATGGTGAAGAAATCTTTTCCATTTCTGGTCATTGCAAGGCAATATCTTAGACTAAATTTTTTAATCGTTCAAAAATGTTAACATATTCAATCAGTCTACTAAAAAGAATTGTTTATCTAATTTATTCAAATGTTGGTAATTATCAGACACCAAGGCCATCACTGACATGCTCTAAAATGTTATGTTTCCCTAGTGAAAACATTTACCAAAGAGTTCCAACCTTGTAAGCTAAGGCACAAATCATAGCATAACCATGAAGATTTGTTACTTCATCTCTGAGTCATAGTCCAAAGATCCAAACAAAGTAGCTTCTTCCCTTTTGTTTTATATTGAGAACTAAAATCTTTATTAGTGATTCTTAACACCCAAGATATTAATCATGAAATTATTATAAAGCATTTTCATTTAATAGAACCAAACTCAAATTTTATATGTAATTACATTTCAACCACTAAACCAGAACAAATATAGTATGTATGAAAAACCTGTTTTTAATTTAATATTGTAGAACCAATACTAGTAATCTTAAACAATTCTTTTATCAAGCAAATGCAAATGGGAATGTAGATTTCACAAACATTTGATAACAAGTGTCCCTACCCAAAGACTATCACATGCATGCCTCTTTACGGTTTACATTTATTGATTGTATCATAAGGTCTCCAGAGCAAATGACTTATGAAGACAGGATTTAAGCTTGTTACCTTGGCACAATCCAGTTAGCTAACTAGTGAAATCCAACAAAAAGCTTGTAGGCACCAAACATATTGCCACTTGCTTCCACATGGTCCTAGTAAATTTAAAGAACATGAATTATTTGGATTTAGGGACATTGAATCTCTACTATACACAGGCAGGCATTAACAGTACAACATTTAAGTTTTAAGATCAGATTAATGTTCTATAAAAAAAATTCAGCAGGTAAGAATGTGTTATATTGTCGAAAAATAAAGGATATACAACAAAAAGCTTAAAAAATGCAACCAAAACTTTCAATAACAACTGAGAGGAAGCAAACAAAGAACTCCTGCAGCCCAAGAGTACAAACAACCTCTCATAATAATCTGGGTATGACCCACCCACCTAAGAAAACCCTAATTTTAGAAAACCCAATAGCCTACAATAGGAAGAAAACACAAATTCAAGAACCATTACAACAAAAAAGCTTAAGAAACACCGAATCATCATAACTCAATACAAAATTACAGCCGGAAAAAGAAAAAAAGAAAAATTCAATTGAAACAATGAAAATGCACAGACAAATGTAGAGTTTTGAAGCTCATCGAGTACCCTTGATCCCTCTTCTGAGCCCAGTGTTGCTGCACTAAAAAGAAGAGTTGGGTTTCTCAATTCCTAGAGCGATGAAGCTAGAGAGGAGAGAGGGTGGAGGGACTGGCTTAGAAAGAGTTGTTGAGAAAGAGAGAGAGCAACGATGAGAGAGAAACGGTTCTTGCACGAATGAGAGAGAGAATTCAGTGAGGGTTAGGACAAAGAGAGAGAGGGGTTTGTTGATCGCTACTGTTTACAGAGAAGGGGGGAGAGATAGGCCGGCATGAATGGAATGTAACGAGGAATTAGGGCTTGAAAATAGGTAAGTGTACAAAAGGGTATTTTAGGTAACACATAAAATAGGAAGAAGGGTATATTAGGCAACAGAAATATGAAACAGTATTTTTTCATGTGCCACCTCAGCTTTTCGGTCAAACACATTTTAGAGAAACTTTGGGACTTTGACTCAGCCTCTAAGTAAATGTGGTGCTCTAACTCCATTTATACGTAATAATCCCTACATTTTATTGTAAAAAAAAAAAAAAAAGAAGAAGAAAAAAGTAATATAATGTAGCAATTTTCGTTTACTTTAAAAGTCATAACACCATAAGGGATGTGTTTGTTGCGAATTTATAAATATAGAAAATAATTTGTAAAAATATATAACTTTAACCCTTTTTTTTAAACATTCCAATAACGTAAAAGTACAACCAATATTTAAGCAAACAAACAACACCCATTGTATATGTACAATTTTTTATTTTATAACAAAAACAATAATGATACTTGTATAAATTACCACCTCTTCAAACACCACAGTAATCAGGATGGTAACGGAACACACCCCATTTAAATTATTATGTTTTGTTCTAGTCTTAAACAATCTAGTAAATAACTTTTCATTCTTTTAAGATCGCGGACCGCCCAAATAATTTTTTTAAATTTTTTTCAATCAAATTCTAAAATTTTGTATTTAAGAATATTAACCAAATAAGTTTTTTATAATTTTTCAATCAAATTCTAAAAATTTGTATTTGAATATGAACCAAATAAACGTTCTTTCAAAATTTACACAATTATATCAAATAAATATTAACATTCTTCAAACAATAAAAAAAACTTGACAGGAGGTTGAAGTGCTAGTGGGAGAAAAGAATCTTTAAAAAGTGTAAAAATGTAATTTTATGATTTTAGTAAATGGGAAGTAAGTGTGATATAGAAATTTAAAAAGGGTAGTTTCTCCAATTTGTTCAAACCTAGTGGAGCCAAGCACAAAATGTCCTATTACATAAGCGGTAACGAATGTTCAGTACTCACTCGAAAGAACTCTGCGTCTCGAATTCATGGAGACCCTTTCGTCTCCGATTCTCTACTCGCTCCGAGTCTCCGGCATAATCAACGACCATAACAAGTGCTACGAGGTTCCCTCAAACCATCTCCATTTTCTCCCTTCATTTTCCCTCACTTCCCCGAGAAACTCCAATTTTCGCGGCAAAAGTTTGCAGTTCAATCGGTTCACCGCCTCGAGCTCATCGTCCAGCCCGTCTGACCAGAACCCATCTCAAGAACTTGCTGTTATTCTTGAAGTTGAAGGGTATTGTTCTGAAATAGAGTATATATCTTTATTTATGTACTGTACTCGATTTTTTCCTTCATACTTCGATTTGATTTTAGTGCCCTTTTTACGTTGCTTTGATGCATTGATAATTAAATTATGTTTTTCTCATTACTGTAATTATGATGTTTTATAAATACACTGTAATTGATTTGTTTTCTTGCATGATTTTCTAACCCAGTTTTCTTGCTTTATTCATGCACTAAATTGGGCTTTATAATTTTGATTCTCTGGTTTATAACATTTCTGGTCCTATAATACATATGCCATAAACAAAAAAAAAAAAAATATGCTCTAGAAAAAAGGTGATAGAAAAAATTGGTGATACTGTTTGTAATTACATCTGGATTAATATTTTTTTTCTACTTGAGGCATTACATTATATATGTTAATACTGCTTGCAATTTTTCCCTAATGCATCTCCTCCTATTCAGGGTTTTGATGGATGTCTACCGCATGGGCAATCGCCAAGCCTTCAATGTAGGTGCGGCAGATGCAATAATTTATGTGTCCTACTCCTAATGGTTTGAATTTATTTTGAATCCAAATATCATAATTAGTAGAAAACTTGTGTGTGATTCTGACTTTTTTTTTCTTTTTCCAATTGTCAGCATTTAAGAAGCTTGGATTGGACTGTGCGAATTGGCCTGAACCTGTATATCTAGACCTTGTAAGGTGTGATTACTGGAAAATTTAGGTGTTTAAAGTTGTAAGTCGGAACATGTTCTTTGATTTGAGGTACTAATGTACTTTGGACAAAATTCTCGTGGGACCAGAAAAGCTTGGCTTGCTTGTGTTGCATGAGTCAGTTGAGTTGCATTTATTTATCATCCATTTGCTACTACTATTTACTTCCAGTTCAGGAAAAATAAATAAATAAATAATAATAATAAAATAAAAAAATTGAAATGGTGCTTCCAAGTTGATTAATCTTTTTTATTAATACATTGCAGCTTGATGAAGTGGTCTTAATTTTCACATTAATGTTTTAAGTCGCATATTTGACTCAGATTTCCTCTCTTTAAAATTCAATCCCATATTTTATTTTCTTCATTATACTTTTACGTCCAACTAATTTAGTATTTTAATTCTTAATTTTGGCTGTACCAGTGATTGTTGTTTATTTCATTTCAGGAAGGGTGCTGGTGATGAGGAAAGGATGTTGATCTTATTTTTTAACAGGGTGAGTTTTACATTGCTTTATCTTCTAGAAAAGTGAAAACTTGATAGATATCTTCCTGCACACCTTTGCATGTTTATTTTTGTTTTCTCAATCTGTCTCCTAATGCTTATTTCTCTTGCAGATTGGTTGGCCTACTTCACTGCCCACAAGTGAGAAGGCAACATTTATCAAAAGTTTACTGAAAGAAAAGGTATAACTTATACTATTGATCAGCAATTAAGAAATTGTCTAGTTCATCTAAGTACATTTAAATGTAGATCTTGCAGATTGGTCAGTTTAATATTGTGCCATAGGTAATTGAGGTCGAAGGGGACTATAGATATGATTATTTTAATTCAGTTCTACATATAAATCTCCTTGGGATTGAGTAAAATTGAGCTGATTAGAAAAACTCGAAAGGGAGGGGGGGGTTAGAGGTATACTTTTTGGATCCTTATATTACCTTAATAGGTAAAATGGAAATTTTGAATTAGTTAAGAAAAAAAAATTGAATTTAACGGCTTATGATTGTTAAGAAATCTGACATTCAATATTTTCTTATAGATCATCAATATATTGAAAATCTATTCAGAAGGACGTCTCATTCTTTAGGATTTTCTTGAATAAAAATTCTGAACTAGTTCAAAATGAAGCGAGATTTTGAAATATCAAAATTCTTTAAAAGTTCATAAAGCTAAATGAAAATGTTCCAAGCTATTAAACATCCAAGCTATAACATCCTTAGAATAACAAGTTTTGTGTTGCATGTTCACCCAATAGCTCTAGATGTCAAACTTACAATAAAACTGCCAGCAAAGCAACCTTACAGAGCTGTAAGGTTAATGAGAGAGAAATTCGTATTTGATGGTTCAACATTACAAAATGTATATTCTCTATGATATAGATGATTTTTCTTAATTTGTTTTATAGCTGCTGCTGTTCTTCTTGATCTTCAAGATGCTTTGCTCATTCCAGTTATTTACTTTCTTTTTCTTTTTCTTTTTTTAAAATATCTTCCTTGGAGTATTTAAGCTCATTAGAGAATCGTAATCAATTCCATTTTACTTGGATGACCGCACAATTTTTATTTTTATTTTTGCCTCTCTAGAGAATCAAGATGAGCAGAGTTCTGTAGTTCAATTGCTAATATATCGGTTAATTTTTGGCAGAAAAATGCATTGGATGATTTTGTGCTGTCAAAAACTCTACCTCTGAGACCTGGTGTTGAGGAGTGAGTAATCCAGTCTTGATTAATATAATTTGTCCAATTTGATGCATCTTGCATCTCCTAAAATCAGTCATCTCTTTTATAATTCAAGGCCTCTATTGATTATCATTATGAAAATGCAGATGCCTTTCCTTAATACTGCGGATAACTTTTGTAGCACATTTTTCATGGTTATTTTGTCAAACATTAACATGAATTCTGATAATTACTGATGGAATTTTTAAACTATTGGTTATTTTTGTGTCCAGATATGTTTTGACTTCGCAGGTTGAAACTTGATTTTTTTACTTCGTCTCTGTGTTCGTATCTTATGGATGCAATACATGACACAAATATCAGTTTACTCGGTCTCTGTTCCTTCATTTTAACTCAAGTAGCATCTTATTCATAGTTATTTAATTTTAATTTATATGTCAATGTTTCCACTTGAAGGATATGAGTTGTGTTTCTTGAACTTTTAATTATTTTTATTCTCATAATTAGAGCTAATAACTTTGAGGACACCAAAATGACCCGGGCTTGGTATGATCCGTATTGCAAAGGACGGGTCGGGTATGGTCAAACAGGATGGAGCAAGTTCGCGCGAGATGGGCCCAGGTCCATAAAGTCATTACAGAAGCCCATATTAAAATGAGAAAAGTTGAGTCCAGGCAAAAGGGAACAGATAAGGCCCATGCCAGAGGAGGTTGTAACTGTCTATAAATAAGGGAAATCGAGAGGGAAAAGAGGTTAGAAAGCATTGGGAGTGAAGAAATTCTCTCTCTGTAATTGGGGGAAATTCTTTGTACTTTCAATTGGTGCCGTCTGTGGGAAGAACAGGAAGGATTGATTGATGTTGTTCCAGATCGAATCGATTCAAAGCACTCTGCAAGGAAGACGATTAATCTGCGAAAGTTGAATCAACATTGGTGATAATACGATTTGTCTCGATGAGTCCAGGCTCCGGTTGATTTCGAGAAGTTGGTGTCCGATCCAAGCAAATCAGATCTGTGCTTGATCCGGCGAATTACACAATTGCGATCTGTTGTGATTACTGAATCCGGCCAGTAGCGGACTGAATTCAGCAAGTGTGAGTTCAGATCTGGTGTGCGCGCGTTCGGAACTCTGATCTGGTCAAGAAATCTACAGTTGATGACTTTGCTCCGATCTGGAGTGATGATCGGAGAGGCGAACTCAAATCCTTTGGAGAACGGCCAGCAGACGAAGCTCGATGAGCTGATGAACATGATCGACGTTTTGAGGAAAGAAAATGCAGAGCTATGAGCTGGAATGGAGCGTCGTGAGGCTCCTGCAATTCCGAGGCCACCTCCTGAAGGAGAGGGAGCTTTACCGTCCCAAGCTAATCGTCAAGGTGATCCAGAAGGTGTCAATCGTGTTGATCCACGTCGTGATGAAGTTATAATCGGTGATCTGCCTCCGAATGTCCGTCAAGTAGAGGATCGAGAAGGATCTATTCATCTGGAACCGCATTACGAACAGATTATGAGGGAGGAAGCACCGGCATATAAACATAGGGTTGCGTCACCGTGTGGCGGAGTGAGTTTGCGGAGGACAGGTCGTTCGATCCGCCTTACCGACCTTCATTAGCAACAGTTGATTACCACAGTTCAGAAAGGAGATCTGCCGATCGGGGGTTTCCGTCACGGTTTTCAAGGGAAAACGAAGCATTGCGCTCATCAGCAAGGACGGTTGCATCTCCGTTCACTGATGAAATTCTGAACGCACCAAATCCGAAGAAGTTCTCTATGCCGGTTTTCATTCTGTTTGACGGAACAAGCGATCCGGTCGATCACATCTACCATATTCAGTTGAAAATGGCTTTGTATACTAATAATGATCCTTTGATGTGCAAATGCTTCCCTACGAGCTTGGCTGGACCAGCTCTCAATTGGTTCAAGAATCTGGCTCAGGGCTCAATCGCCAGTTTCCAGGACTTATGCGATAAGTTCATAAGCCAGTACTACGGGAATAAACGTCCGGCTAAGGATGTATCAAGCCTTTTCACAATGAAGCAGCATGAGGATGAACGGCTCCAAGCTTTTCTCACCCGGTTCAACCTCGTTAAAAGCATGTTAATGGAGTGTCATCCGTCCACAGCAGTCCAAGCATTTAAACTCGCAATGAACCGGGGGACGCCGTTCCACACCAGCTTGGTGGTTAATACGCCAAAGACCATGGACGAGCTGAACGAGAGAGCTGACGGTTTTGTTCGTCTTGAGGAGGAAGAGGCAGCTAATTCGAGGAAGACGTCAATTATTTCGACGGAAGAGAAGTCCAAAGCCAAGGTCCGGCAAAAACAAGCTCAGCCGCAACGTCACCCCTCATGGAAGGCGGAGAAGAGGCCCAGGGAGGAGGAATCAGTCACTCCACTCAGAGTCACCTTAGCAAGGCTATACCAAGAGAACAAAGATAAGTTTCGTCCTCCTCTGCTAATCAGGCAACCTCTTGAATAGAGGGATCAAACTAAACATTGTGCTTTCCATAGTGATTTTGGACATCAGACTAACGAATGTAGGAACCTAAGGAGGCAGGTAGAGATGCTAATCGCAAAAGGGGAATTTGCAAGCTATGTTCAAGGTCCGGCGCAAGAGCAGAACCGCCCGACTGAGCAAATCAAGCGGAACCAGAGGCCGAACCAACGCAACTCTCAGCCTATCCGGATTATAAATGCAATTCATGGCCAGCCTGAACAAACAACGGAGTCAGAAGAGTTGCTCAGAACGAGGTTATGCCAGGCCCAGTTGAAAAGAAGGATTGGCAGTGTGCATGCTTTGTATCAGCAGAACGCGTCCACATCGATAAAGTTTGATAAAACGGACCTGCTACGCGTTCAGATTCCTCATGAAGATCCATTAGTCGTCAGTTTGACGGTTGCAGAATGCTTGATTCGAAGAGTTCTGATTGATCCAGGAAGTAGTGCGAATGTCATGCCCAAGGTGACGTTCGACCGACTGGAGATCAAACCCGAAAAACTCAAACCCACAGGAAATCCGTTGCTCGGATTTGATGGGAAGCGAGTGGAACCCATTGGAATGGTGGAATTGACAGTACAAGCTGCTGAACGAGTTTTGACTGAAAGTTTTGTGGTCGTGGAAATTCATCCATCCTACAACCTCTTGATGGGCAGAGGATGGATTCACAGAGCTCAGGGCGTCCCATCAACCTTGCATCAAGTGATGCGATGTTTGAGTCCAGATGGGACCAAGGTGAGACATACACGGGGACCAGGTTGCAGCTAAAGAATGTTATTCAGTAACTTTGAAATCTGCTAGAAAAGGAAAAAAAATCCCATCCGTTCTGCCAGTCCAAAATAGCAATTACAGAACCCTCCTCCCAGCAAGGATAGGGAGGAGGAGCCACCAGTTTTGACCACAGAACTCCTTCATGAAGTGAAGATTGACTATGAGAAACCGAACCGAACAACAAGGGTGGGAACCAGACTTACTGAAGAAGAAAAACTAGAGTTGACTGATTTCTTGACTCGGAATGCAGATGTATTCGCATGGAGCCATTCAGATATGCCAGGGATAAATCCTGCTGTATCTTGCCATTCCCTCAATGTAGATCCGAATGCAAAGCCAGTGAAGCAGAAGCAGAGAAGATTTGCTCCAGAACGAAATCAGATTATAGCTGAGGAGGTTGATCGGCTGCTTGAAGCCGGATTCATCAGAGAAGTTCAGTACCCGGCCTGGCTCTCCAATGTTGTTGTAGTGCAGAAGAAGAATGGGAAGTGGAGAGTGTGTATCGACTTCACTAATCTGAATAAAGCTTGACCAAAGGATAGTTTCCCATTGCCAAGGATTGATCAAATGGTAGATGCCACCACAGGATATGAGCGGTTAACCTTCCTGGATGCTTATTCCGGTTATAATCAAATTCCCATGGATCCAGTCGACGAAGAGAAAACTTCGTTTGTTACTGAACGAGGGACTTATTGCTACAAAGTCATGCCGTTCGGATTAAAAAACACTGGAGCTACTTATCAAAGGCTGATCAGCAAGATTTTTAAGGGCCAAATGGGAAGCACTGTCGAGGCTTATATTAATGATCTGGTGGTCAAGAGTAAGAAGAAGAGCGATCATTTAGCTCACCTGCAGGATGTGTTCGATGTGTTGCACCAGTATGGGATGAAGCTTAATCCGACCAAATGCTCATTCGACGTAAGCTCCGGTCAATTTCTGGGACATGTGGTCAATCATAGAGGAATTGAGGCCAGCCCAGCGCAGGCAGAAGCCCTGATCAGAAATGCAGAGCCAAAGACAATTAAGGAGGTGCAAGCACTCACAGGTCGGATAGCTGCACTGAGCCGATTTATTTCCAAGCTTTTGGACCGCTGTAAACCTTTCTTTGATACAATTCGAGGGCACGGAAGGCAAACCTGGGGGGATGAGCAACGACAGGCGCTAACCAGCCTGAAGGAATACATGCGTAATCCTTCGGTTCTGTCTGCTCCCGAGCCGAATGAGAAGCTCTTTCTATATCTTGGGGTTTCCAGTATAGCGACTAGTGCCGTTCTGATCCGTTGCAAAGAAGGAAAGCAGTTCCTGGTGTTTTATGTTAGCAAAACAATGTCTGAGCCGGAAAGAAGGTACTCCAGGGCCGAACGAATGATCTTGTTGCTGGTCAACGCAAAAAGGAAGCTTAGACATTATTTTGAATCTCATCCGATCGTCGTTTTAACAACTTTCCCTTTGAGAATGATCCTGCACAAACCGGACCTATCGGGGAGAATGACCAAGTGGGCCATTGAATTGAGTTCATTTGATATTGCATACGAGCCCAGGACGGCAATCAAAGGTCAAGCGGTGGCGGATTTCCTACTTGAATGTGATGCTGAAGATTTGGTGGAGGATTATAATTGTTCCTTGTGGAAGCTCTTCGTGGATGGCTCCTCGAATCAAATGGGGGCAGGGATTGGAATCCAATTGCAAACACCAGAAGGAACTACGTTGAGCCAAGCGATAAGACTTGAGTTCAACGCAACCAACAATGAGGCAGAATAT